GTGCGAGGTGGCATTTCAAGGGGTGTGAGGTGGCATTTCAAGGGGTGCGAGGTGGCATTTCAGGGGGTGCTAGGTGGCATTTCAAGGGGTGCGAGGTGGCATTTCAAGCGGTGCGAGGTGGCATTTCAGGGGGTGCGAGGTGGCATTTCAAGGGGTGCGAGGTGGCATTTCAAGGGGTGCAAGGTGGCATTTCAAGGGGTGCGAGGTGGCATTTCAAGGGGTGTGAGGTGGCATTTCAAGGGGTGCAAGGTGGCATTTCAGGGGGTGCGAGGTGGCATTTTAAGGGGTGTGAGGTGGCATTTTAACGGGTGCGAGGTGGCATTTCAAGGGGTGCGAGGTGGCATCTCAAAGGGTGCGAGGTGGCATTTCAAGGAGTGCAAGGTGGCATCTCAAAGGGTGTGAGGTGGCATTTCAATTGGTGCAAGGTGGCATTTCAAGGGGTGCGAGGTGGCATTTCAAGGGGTGTGAGGTGGCATTTGAAGGGGTGCGATGTGGCATCTCAAGGTTTATGAGGTGGCATTTGAAGGGGTGCAAGGTGGCATTTCAATAGGTGTAAGGTGTTCATCTCAAAGGGTGTGAGGTGGCATTTCAAGGGGTGCAAGGTGGCATCTCGATTAAGGGGTGTGAGGTGGCATTTTAACGGGTGCGAGGTGGCATTTCAAGGGGTGCGAGGTGGCATCTCAAAGGGTGCGAGGTGGCATTTCAAGGGGTGCAAGGTGGCATCTCAAGGGGTGCGAGGTGGCATTTCAAGGGGTGCGAGGTGGCATTTCAAGGGGTGCGAGGTGGCATTTCAAGGGGGGCGAGGTGGCATTTCGAGGGGTGCGAGGTGGCATCTCAAGGGGTGCGAGGTGGCATTTCAAGGAGTGCAAGGTGGCATTTCAAGGGGTGTGAGGTGGCATTTCAATGGGTGCAAGGTGGCATTTCAAGGGGTGCGAGGTGGCATTTCAAGGGGTGTGAGGTGGCATTTGAAGGGGTGCGATGTGGCATCTCAAAGTTTATGAGGTGGCATTTGAAGGGGTGCAAGGTGGCATTTCAATAGGTGTAAGGTTTTCATCTCAAAGGGTGTGAGGTGGCATTTCAAGGGGTGCAAGGTGGCATCTCGAAGGGTGCGATGTGGCATTTCAAGGGGTGCAAGGTGGCATCTCGAAGGGTGTGAGGTGGCATTTCAAGGGTTGCAATTTGGCATTTCAAGGGCTGTGAGGTGGCATCTCGAAGGGTGCGAGATGGCATTTCAAGGGGTGCGCGGTGGCATCTCAAAAGGTGTGAGGTGGCTTTTCAAGGGGTGCGAGGTGGCATCTCGAAGGGTGCGAGGTGGCATTTCAAGGGGTGCGCGGTGGCATTTCAAGTGGTGCAAGGTGGCATCTCAAAGGGTATGAGGTGGTATTTCATGGGGTGCGAAGTGGCATTTCAAAGGGTGTGAGGTGGCATTTTTATGGGTAAAAATAACACTAAAAACAGGGGAGCCATTGACTAACCAGTTATGAAAATGATACATGTGTATATGTTTTAAATTTCTTCATCAGCAATTGACTTCTGTAAATTTAAATAATATGAGGCTATTTTGGCCGGTTATGTTGTGATTTTTTTCCACATACACACACACACGCACACAAACGCCTACGCTCACACATGAACACACAGTCACCCACATATCTCCAGATAGCTCTATTGCAGCGGTTCTCAACCTGTGGGTCGCGACCCCTTTGGGGGTAGCACAACCCTTTCACAGGGGTCGCCTAAAACCATCTGAAAACACATATACTCTACAGTTATAAAGTATCAACGAAAATAATTTTGTGGTTGAGGGTCGCCACAACACGAGGAACACTATTAAAGGGTCGCGGCTTTAGAAAGGTTGAGAACCATTACTCTATTGTATACAAAAATGTAATTAACATACCGACACACCCACAGTCTAAACAGCCTAAGACCTGTACATGCATTAGCCTTAAATATACTTATTGTAAGCTATGTCATTGTAATGCTATGATAACCCGCGTTGGTGTCTACTGCTGCTGCACCGTGTTTACCTTTCATTAACCTACAGCAGATTGTTAATAGCAGACACACAGGTCATCTCCCCGGTGCTCAGATCCTCTTATCAATGCATCGACAGTGCGGCGAGGAACTTGCGATCAAGGAGACTGTTGATTCTTCGCTCTCGTCATTGATAAGCGTTCTGACAAGTCAACAAGCCGTAGGACAGACTTGCTGTGCCTTTTCTCTGTGGGACGCTTACTCATCGAGAACCCATCTCTTAAGAGCACCTACCATCATCGTTGGTTTTTCTGTAAAAAAAAATTCATTGAATTTAAAGATAAAGGATTCTAGATAGTAGCATTCTTCGTTGGATTAAATGAACTTCATTTCAACTTCATTTCAACTTCATTTCAACTTCATTTCAACTTCATTTGCATTCTGTATGTGTGGACGATACTAATTGGACTTGCCAAAATATGACACTTTGTGTTATCGAAATGTCTGTTTGATTGACATTAACTTGAAGCAAGTATCCATGGTTTCAGCTAAGTTAAGACAATTAAAAAACCAACAACAGCCATGTTCCTGGACGCGTTGTTGGTAGCCTCAGTTTTAAGCTGTCTTGTCGCGACGGCCACATACGATGAAAAAGTCTATTTTGGACAGAGCTCATCTCCACATAATATGACGTGTCAGCAGTGGTACTGTGGCAACTACCAGAGTATTCTGTCCAGTGTGTCCACACACTACCAGCGTGGCTACTACGATCTCATGAATTGTGCGTGCGATCCGCTGTGCCCATATTTCGGAGACTGTTGCTCAGACTTCAGACCTACTAGAGAAGAAAGCCCCGCGCTCAAGGCACTGCGCAGAAATGGAAGACGCGTAGAAGATTTTTCTTGTATTCAACTAAACAGTGTATCACCACATGATTACGTTCTGGTCATAAACAAATGTCCCGCTTCCTGGAGGCACGAACGATACCGTGAGCAGTGCTCTATCGACAGTGACCTAGATCTGACCGAAACTGAAGACTTCATGCTCGACCTGCCAGTTACGGGGACGAACTCTGGCGCCCTCTACAGAAACATTTATTGCGCCCTGTGTAACGAGGAGCCGTTCACACCTTGGTCTGTGCACATAGAATGTCGCGGCGATGATCCCAGTTTTAAACTAGGCGCATCATTTCGGGAATTACTGGAGCATCCGAGTTGTAGTTTGACATACCGACCACCATCGAATACGAGTCTCCAGTATCGCCCATGCCTTGCCGAAGTGACCAAGACGTGCAGACACCCAGACGCAGTTGCCGACGATGTCAAAAAAGCCTGCCTGGAAAGCAAATCGAATTCTTTGGTGTACCGAATAAACTACGCGTTTGCCAACCCGTTTTGTGCCATGTGTTATCTTGGACACATGAAGTATATCACGTGCGCAAAAATCTCGGGTATGCCGATTCTGATATCGCACGAACCCTATTCGTATTCCATTCTGCTGGATTTCACCAAGGGTATCATACTTTCCAAAATCGGCCAACGCGTACATGTCGTGGAAGAGAGAAATGTGAAATGTAGCAGCAATGCTATCTACGACCCAATTCTGTCTGTGTGCAAAGACGTCGAATGTCCTGACGGATGGAGATTTACACAAACCGAATGTGTCTTTGCAAGGACGAGTTCACCTGCACGTGGTCAACTCGATACTCTGGAGACGCTGAATAGAACCGTCTGCGCAAAAATTCGTTTAAATGAATCTGAATATGAACTGAATGAAACTCATCTTTATTTAACCAAACACAATGTTGCACTTGAGCCGGGCAATTTTGAAACATCTTCATTGGGAACTTTTATCTGTGCTAATTACCTAGGCGACGTATTTGATGATTTCTCCAACGCTGGTCAAATATCGCTTCCACTCGCCAGTTCAGAAGGCATAATCAGCGCCATTGGCATGAGCGTATCGATTGTGTTTATGATGATCACAATATATTTCTATATTTCTATTGGAAGAGTTCGATCCATCCCAGAAAAGAACACGCTGTCCATGATGTGTGCGTTAATCCTTGCTAACACTCTACTGCTGTTCGGCTCACTCACTTCTTCCGTGCCGTTGCTATGCAAACTTGTGGCTGTCGCTATGCACTACGCCTTCCTGTCTGCGTTTGCGTGGATGAACGTCATGGCAATAGACATGTGGGGCACGTTTTCCTCGGGACTGCACCTTCGGGAGAGATTTCACAAACTGTTCGCAAAGTACAGCATCTACGCTTGGGGGTGTCCTGGTGTTATCGTCGCTACGTCGCTAACACTTGACCAACAGGCTCGAAACTTTCCCGCCAGCCCGCGATACGCAGCCAACATTTGCTGGATCAACTCCAAACTCGGCCTGCTCATATTCTTTGCCGCGCCGCTAGCGGCCATCCTCGCCGTCAACGCCGTACTCTTTGTCATCACCTCCAGAATAATAATGCGCTCCAGGAAAGCGATCGAGGTGTGCGGGCCGGTTAGCCTGAAGCGACAGAACCTTCTGACCATCAACATTAAGCTCTCGGTCATCGTGGGCCTCGGTTGGGCACTGGGCTTTGTCGCGGCCTTCTGGGAGTCATCGGTTGTGACTTATCTGTTTATCGTACTCAACTCCCTGCAAGGATTTTTCATTTCCCTGTCGTGCATGTGCTCGACTAAAATCCGGAAGTTGATCCGAGTGAGAATGGCCGCCTTGTCCCCCACGAGGGTGGTGTCTACAATCCTAGCCGTCTCAAAGCATCGGAGTTACAAAACAAATTCTGAAAAAACGAAAAGAATTGGAAAATCGTCCTTGACGAGCACGACAACATTGACCAAAGCATTCTTTGACAGAAGCAGGTCTACGAACTCGACATTTGATGACAGGCGAGACTCTACAGAATCAACATTTGATGTCAGGCGAGACTCTACAAATTCAACATTTGATGTCAGACGAGACTCTACAAATTCAACATTTGATGTCAGACGAGACTCTACAAATTCAACATTTGATGTCAGACGAGACTCTACAAATTCAACATTTGATGTCAGACGAGACTCTTCAAATTCAACATTTGATGTCAGGCGAGCGTCTACAGAATCAACATTTGATGTCAGACGAGACTCTACAAATTCAACATTTGATGTCAGGCGAGCGTCTACAGAATCAACATTTGATGCCAGACGAGACTCTACAGAATCAACATTAGATGTCAGACGAGACTCTACAAATTCAACATTTGATGTCAGGCGAGCGTCTACAGAATCAACATTTGATGCCAGACGAGACTCTACAAATTCAACATTTGATGTCAGACGAGACTATACAAATTCAACATTTGATGTCCGACGAGACTCTACAAATTCAACATTTGATGACAGCCGAGCGTTTACAGAATCAACATTTGATGTCAGACGAGACTCTGCAGAATCAACATTTGATTTCAGGCGTTACTTTACCCCCATGTCAAATTATTGTTATAGCAACCCTACGCCAATGTCATTGGATGATAGACACAGTCCTACAGATAGTTCTTAAGGAGACAATATTCACAAGTAGTTGAAATAGCGCCAATGGCCCCTGTCATAAGGAATTAAATTCCCATTTGTGAAAGTGTGATCGGAGATAACGCTGTCACAATTACTTATATTATACTATTTATTATATTACACTATTGCTTATATTACACTATTACTTATATTACACTATTACTTATGTAACACGATTACTTTTAATACCAGGTTACTTATTTATATTTTCAAAATGTTTCACTGGATACGATACCACTTTGAAGCTTCACGATCACATGATCGACAACTTTGCCATATATTTATAGTTTTCTTGACATGATCGACAACTTTGCCATCTATTTATAGTTTTCTTGACATGATCGACAACTTTGCCATCTATTTATAGTTTTCTTGACATGATCGACAACTTTGCCATCTATTTATAGTTTTCTTGACATGATCGACAACTTTGCCATCTATTTATAGTTTTCTTGACATGATCGACAACTTTGCCATCTATTTATAGTTTTCTTGACATGATCGACAACTTTGCCATATATCTATAGTTTTCTTGACATGAGTGACAACTTTGCCATCTATTTATAGTTTTCTTGACATGATCGACAACATTGCCATCTATTTATAGTTTTCTTGACATGATTGACAACATTGCCATCTATTTATAGTTTCCTTGAAATGACTGACAACATTTCCAGCTATTTATAGTTTTTTGACATAATCGACAGCTTCGCCATCTATTTATAGTTTTATTGACATGATCGACAACACTGTCATCTATTTATAGTCTTCTTGACATTTTTGACACGAATGCTTTCATAGCAAAGACGTGAACAAATGCACCTTTCTACGTTGCCCTAGACCTCCAACTCTGTCTCTAGCCTCAGAAAAGTAAAAACGCCACATTTTGTTTGTTCACATGAACTTGTTCACATGAATTTGTTCACATGAATTTGTTCACATGAATTTGTTCACATGAACTTGTTCACATGAATTTGTTCACATGAATTTGTTCACATGAATTTGTTCACATGAATTTGTTCACATGAATTTGTTCACATGAATTTGTTCAATGTCATCGATTTTTTCAGATCACACTAGATCAATGATTAAATAAACAGTCAAGTGGAGTGAGTAATAATCATGTTCAATGAGTTAGTAAACACCTTGCAATAAATAATTTTGTTATCAATCCAGAATGGGTGACAGATCTGTCAATGAGTGCCACAAAAAAAAAACCATGTAAACTCCATCTTGGCACACACCAGTATACACACTCTATCATGACACACACTATATTGTAACATACACACTCTATCATGACACACACTCACATACACACTCTATCTTGGCACTAACATACACACTCTATCTTGGCACACACTAACATACACACTCTACTTTGCCACACACTAACATACACACTCTATCTTGGCACACACTAACATACACACTCTCACTTGGCACACACTAACATACACACTCTATCTTGGCACAAACTAACATACACAATCTATCTTGGCACACACTAACATACACACTCTCACTTGGCACTCACTAACATTCACACTCTCACTTGGCACACACTAACATACACACTCTCACTTGGCACACACTAACATTCACACTCTCACTTGGCACACACTAAAATTCACACTCTATCTTGGCACACAGTAACATACACACTCTCACTTGGCACACACTAACATACACACTCTCACTTGGCACACACTAACATACACACTCTCACTTGGCACACACTAACATACACACTCTCACTTGGCACACACTAACATACACACTCTATCTTGGCACTCACTAACATACACACTCTCACTTGGCACACACTAACATACACATTCTCACTTGGCACACACTAACATACACACTCTCACTTGGCACACATACTCGTGCATTTTATGTTATTAAAATACTAACTAGTTAAACATTGATCTACACTGTAGCATACGCAGAAGCTTGTTCTCCGCTATAGCTTAAAAAGACAACTAAGACCTCTCTTTGCGTAAGGCCATTTTACAAGTTTATATAGGGCCATTTACAAGTTATATAGGGCCATTTACAAGTTATATAGGGCCATTTACAAGTTATATAGGGCCATTTACAAGTTATATAGGGCCATTTACAAGTTATATAGGGCCATTTACAAGTTTATATAGGGCCATTTACAAGTTTATATAGGGCCATTTACAAGTTTATATAGGGCCATTTACAAGTTTATATAGGGCCATTTACAAGTTATATAGGGACATTTACAAGTTATATAGGGCCATTTACAAGTTATATAGGGCCATTTACAAGTTATATAGGGCCATTTACAAGTTATATAGGGCCATTTACAAGTTATATAGGGCCATTTACAAGTTATATAGGGCCATTTACAAGTTATATAGGGCCATTTACAAGTTATATAGGGCCATTTACAAGTTATATAGGGCCATTTACAAGTTATATAGGGCCATTTACAAGTTTATATATGGCCATTTACAAGTTATATAGGGCCATTTACAAGTTTATATAGGGCCATTTACAAGTTATATAGGGCCATTTACACAAAGTGCACGATAATCTTTAGTGCCATTTTTAGAAACTAATATTAATAATCATTTGAAATTTGTTGGCAGACTATAGAAAACAAATGGTAAAAAGTACTGTTTTCACTAACACACTTTCCCAAATGTCCCCCAAAACCTTCAGAGTTGTTAAAGTCATATGACTTGAAAGGCATTGGTGGGGGGAGAGAGAGAGAGAGAGAGGAGAGAGAGAGAGGAGACAGAGACTCTCTCTCTCCTCTCTTTCTCTCTCGAGTAGTGTGTCATAAGTGGTGAGATGTCGGTAATTATGAAGGTTCTGGTTCGGGAAATGTTTCGTTGCTGCATCCATGGACTGGCATCTTTGCAACGGTTGGGGATATGATGTTGCTATTTGTGAAATGTTTTTGAGAAGATATCTTCCTGAGATTATGTAAAAAGAAGGGGTGGGGTGGGGGGGGGATTTCTCCTTGGGGAGTGTATTCATTTGGTTACAAAGCAAAACAAGTTTTCGGTGTTGGTGGTCGGTCGAGAAAGTTATAGTTCATTAAATACACTCTACAACTTATTTTAACTTTAATCTATTTGTGAAATGTTTTTGAGAAGATATCTTCCTGAGATTATGTAAAAAGAAGGGGTGGGGTGGGGGGGGGGGAAATGAACGCCTCTCCTGTGCACGGTGCGTAAAAAAAAGCATTGCACCTTTGAAGAGAACATTGTGTTGAGTGTTCATTGACGTGACGTCTGAACATTGTGTTGAGTGTTCATTGACGTGACGTCTGAACATTGTATTGAGTGTTCATTGACGTGACGTCTGAACATTGTGTTGAGTGTTCATTGACGTGACGTCTGAACGCTGTGAAACGTATCTGTATTGAATTATCCTTCCTAAAACCAGCTGGGCAAACTTTTTCCAAAATAGCCACGAATGAAAAGGAAAGTTCGCCACACTAGACTATAAGGCATCAAACATTACCACTGAATCAAATGAGAGTAAATACCGCTGCGAAAAATATTTCATTAACAACTATGCGAGTTGAAATATAGGTTGTTATTGAAATATATGGTGGTATTGAATTTTTTAATTGTTGGTATTGAAATATATTAACATGTAGCTGATCTTCTTCTTCTTACTTATTCTCATTCCCAATGGAGCATAGGCCACCCACAATACTTTTTCATCTGTCCCTGTCCTGGGCTATCTTTGCTAGTTCAGCTCGATTGGAGCATAGGTCACCCACAATTCTCTCTATCTCTCTCTCTTTCTCTCTCTCCCTCTTTCTCTATCTCCCTCCCTCTCTCTCCCTTACTCCCCCCTTTTTTCTCTCTCTCTCTCTTCATCTCCATCTCTCTCTCTTGTTCCTGGGCTACCTTTGCGGGTTCATTCCAGCGTTTCTTCATTCTCTTTACCTCTGACCCTAATCCCCTCTTCCATGTGGCTTTTGGTCTCTCTCTTTCCTTGTACATTGAGAATTCAAAATCAGGAATTGTGATGTTATTGTTTGATTTTCTTAATGTGTGCCCTATCCATCTCCATTTTCTCTTTTCTATCTCCGTTTCCTCTGGAACACTTGATGTTCTCTCTGTCGAGTATGAGCGTTCATTAGTAATTGTTGCGACTCAATAT